TTGAAAAGGATATCACTGAAGGCAAAATGTGACATTGTTTTATAGAATTATGCACTTTGTCAGATTAATCACACTTTAGTATTATGATTGAAATATAAATTTCAACATGAATTTAGACTTCAAGTCTGGAAGACATGAAAGGCAATACCATGAAATGAATATTCAAGAAAGAAGTATTAATCTGACCTCTTCCAGCAACATTAAACTCAGTACACACTACTGTACTCAGAGGTCACATGAAAGACTTTCACCATAAACCATAAATGAGTAGTCACCCATATAAACAATTTTCTAGTAAGATCTTCAAGCTATCTCTTTTCTCTCTTTAAGTACTTCTAAAAGTTAAGATGTCTCATACTGTCCCAAACATTGGTCCTGTTGAACAAAACTATATACATTACAAGAGGGGAAAGAATTTCACCATTAACATCTTATCAAACAATCTTGGGTAAAGATTCATTTTCATATTGTGTTACCAGCCTGAATATAACCAATGATCGACAGAAGTAGGATAAATATAGAATCCTGCCTTCATGATACTCAGAAGGTGAGATGTAATTGCAAAAAATATAAAACAAATATAAAAAATAGGAACCTTTTTCCACCTTGAACATCAGATATAATCCAACACCTAATCTGACCTCCTAAATTAAACCCGTTGGCCTAAGCAGCTCCAATCCAGCACTAACCCACAGATCACACACCACAGGTTTGCAATCTTGTCATCCCTTAATAAGTTATCTGTGTCGTCTTCTGCCTGCCTACAAGCCTACATTCAAAAGATCTAAATACATACCAATATGTGCTCAAAAGTCACAAGTCCAAATCAACAAAATCATCAGGATGCGACGTCCATATGAAAAATCGAATTAACAGGAGAAGAAAACGATCGAACTGGATGATGATTGGAACGTGCCACAAATTAGGGCCTCGCGAGGGCCAGCGCCGCGGAGATTACGGAGGGAGAAGAGAGCCCTGAAGCGCTCCGAGATGGGTTGGCTGGGATCGAGAAGCCGCTCGCAGAGGAATCTCTCCATCTCCGGAGACGACTCGAAGGAGTTCTCACAACCCATCGCTTCGGCGCAGAGAGGAAGACAGCGAGGGGGAACCCAAAGCGCGATCAAAACCCTCGCTGACGATGGCGAACGCTATATATATATATATATATATATATATATGCCGATTAATTTGGCGTTAGTCGAACGCATTCCAATCGCGTAATCTACATCCATCGGACTTTGAGATTCCCGCAATTACCATATGAACGGTGATATTACCTTCGTTCTGCGCCTCCCTTCCATTGCGCTTCAAGTTCGCCCCAACACTCATCGGAAGCATCAAGACGCTCGCTCGACCCCATCAACGGTGAGATTTCCGTACCTGTCTGCCGTGCGCGTGCAAATAAAGTGCATCATTAAAACCGTGGAAAGAAAATAAGATGTCCCTCTTGGTCGATCTCCCCCGATCGAAAAAACCCGACGACAAGTTTGGCCACGCGATCGGAGTAAACTTGTTTTCTTGCTCCCTGTTCATCTCATGTCGATGAGTCAGTTGATCGATATGTCTTTCAATCGATCTATATGCCTAGGGTTTCCGATGCTTGTTAATCGATCCGAAGCTTCAATATCGCCCTTCTTGCATTCTTGAGTTTAATTTCCTCAAATTGCTGAGACACACGGGAAAGGTTCATCAGTATTTGATCGCGCTCTTCAGATTGTTTTTGAAGATTGTTTTCTTGGGTTTGGTTTTATGTGCGAAGTTTAAGGCCTTCTTCAAACGTTTTGGTGTTTTGAATATTTTTGTGCAACTGCGCTGAAACCCTAACAATGAAATTGTTGATTTCGACACAGAAAAGATTCTTTAGGAAAGGCAGTGGATTTTTTTTCTGAAGTTAGTGCACCCATGAACTCAAGAAGGTTAGTTCTGATCTTTCTCTTACTCTGGAAATGGTTGGCATGATAATTTACTGTAAAATCACTAGAACTTAGATCTTATTTTGCTATGCTTTGCTTCTTTTGTGTGTGTGGGTGTTTACGTGTCCGCGTGCGTGTGTGTGCGCATGTTAAGAGTGTGAAGCCTTTTAAAGCTAGTGACTAGAAGACTAAGCTATGAAATAAGCCAGAAGTAGAGAGATTATCCGAGCATAATTTCGTGTCTTACATATTCACGTATTTGTAGGAGTTGTGGGAGAAGAGCAATGTTGTTGCCCCCATGGAACCTTAGTAAAAGAGACAACTAGAACCCTCATAGTGTAACAACTTGCTTAACTTACATTATAATCATAGTATTAGGATACCACTTTTGCACGTTTCAAAGGTGAGAATTACACATTTGGAAACTTTTTTTTTTATATATGGTGATTAGTTCATGATCTTGCATTTTATTTTCAAGAAATAAGCAATGTTTTGAACCAATAGCACTACTGTTTGATCGGACTAGGTGCATTTAGATACAAAAGTAGCAAAATCTTCTGTGCATGATGTTATTTGTGTTTATTATGACTTTTGACTGATTGCAGGGATTATCACAGCAACAGAACTGCTCTTTTTGATGGCATTGAAGAAGGTGGGGTTCGAGCTTCAGCATACTCATCTCATGAAATTGATGAGCATGACAATGATCTTGCTATGGAAGGGCTGCAAGATAGAGTCAACATTCTGAAGAGAGTAAGTGTAAATGAGTAATTGACTGCAATTTTTCACTTTTTTTGGTTCTTTTTTTATAATATTTGATGAGTAAATGGTAAGTTTTTCTGCACATTCCATGCATGCAAGAAGTTTGAAAATGGGAGAAACATGGGAGAGAGATCTCTATCATATTTTTTTCCTAATCTCTTTACCACAACCAAGTTAAAATGGATGGTCCTAATGTAATCTGGGCATAGGCTGTGTCTAGTCTCTCACCCATTGAAGAGTATATATGGGTAGACACATTACAATTTTGAAGGAAGACTTTGAGATACCATAAATAACAAAGATGTCATGGATTTGAATGCAGATATATTGATAAATCCGAGGTAGTTCTGAAAAATCAATTGATTGATATATGTGATCTGTTGCTAATAACCAGGAATTAAGCATTTTTACTTATCTTGGCTTAGATTCACTATGTGCAAATGGTTGGCTTGGAATATCAATCGAGTTGTGACACTCGTTTACGACATTTGATTTCCAAGTTTTGTGTTCAGGAGAGATGTTTGATTGTCAAACCTAAGTTTGTTAATATGTGTTTCCCATGACATAAGATTATGGTTTTAAGCAAACTTGATTACAGGCCACAGAATTTTCTAGATGAGTTAATTTTTTTCCTGAATGAAACTGGTGTGATTATCGAGAATCTTCATTCTTCAGTGCTATGGCAATTAGCTAAATGGATGACCTGTACAAGGCACCATAAAATTTCTCTTTATTTTTGGAAGTTCTTAGAATTTTAATTGCCTAACCTCAGAGTAAATGTATTTTGTTATTTCTTCATGCCTTCAGACACTAAAAGAAATTCCTGAATTAATTAACTTTGAATGACAAAAACGTGACAGAAACTGTGCCTTGCAATTAAAAAGATCAGTTATCGGATGACTTCACCAAATATAGACATCTCAAGCATATCTTTTACAAGTTTTGTGTTATATTCTATACTCAATATCAGAAATGCATTCCAATAAAATTTTAAACCAGCCTAGAGAACCTTGGAATTTCTTTTTCCTGTTCATGATGTGAAAATTGAGTCTGTGTGTACCTTTTCGACACAGGCACAAGTGCAATGGCTTGCCCAGGTCTCTGTGCGTAAGTGCCTGAGCGCACACTCTTCCTGTCTGATGGTTTCCTTTTTTGTCTTTCTTCTCTGATTTATGTATATTTAACCTATCAAGGCTGAAGAGAGTTTCGTGGTAATAACAGTGCCAAAATTTTGAGAGTAAATATTAACTAGCAATTTAGTTGCATCATGCAAATTGGATATATTCCTAATCATGAAATTGATATCTTCACGTCTCATACCAGTTAGGCATCTGTTCAGTTAAGAATTATAAGAATTGTAAAACCTGTAAGATGCAAAAGCTCCATCTTTGGATGGTCAATATAGTTTTTTATTCTGATCTGAGGGATCATCCTTTCCCTTTTCATATTCCTTGTAGTTCATGCGACTCATGCTCTTTGGCACCACAAAAAGTTTCACCTTCACTTGGTCCACCATATCAGAGTTCCTACCCCTATGGGGTTTGAGCTTCGTTCTTCTCTGCATGTGTTGTTCAAGTTCACTGGATCGTCATCTCTTGATGCCTGCACCAAGTATACTACAAAACTTGCAATATCAGTCATTCTTTTTACAGTTGACAGGTGACATACATGAAGAGGTTGAGAGTCACAATCGAATGCTTGATCGTATGGTACGTAGTTTACATGTTTGTGGTCATGTACCGATCCACCAATGCCTTGGTTGTTTGGTCATGGTCAGTGTACATGAGCATTGCTCTGTTTGATATCAGGGCAATGATATGGATTCATCAAGGGGCATCCTGTCTGGAACAATGGATCGCTTCAAGATGGTAAATAGTTTGAAGCTCATAGTTACTGTGACCCCCTTATATCTGGACCGCTGAACATATTGAGCCTTCTTTTTGTATTTTAGGTTTTTGAGACGAAGTCGAGTTGTAGAATGGCTACCCTGGTGGCATCTTTTGTGGCCCTCTTCTTACTCGTTTATTTCTTGACCAAGTAAGCAAGCGTGTTAGATTGTACTTTCAAGATCTGGTGGTGGTGATATGTCATTATGCTTGCAATGACTGTAATTGTAATAACTGTGTGTGCTCCTCCTATATTGTCAATGTTAACAAGTGAAGTTGCTGTTATTGTATAGATGGGTGGCACCTGAGTTGAGCGGTCAGTTGCTACCAGTCGGTCTCTTAAACTTCGTCATCCAGCAGTGGTGCTTTAATAAACCATAAGAAATGGTAAGGTGTCGATTATAGCTGTGGGGATTATGAGTTATTTTCTATTATACGGATATGGCACAGGGATGAATAATAAAGGACTACCTCTCGGCTCGTCCTCGTATTATTCGTTCTCGCCTCATTCAATCAATATTTGGGCCTGCATGCCTGATCCACAATTGAATTTTGATTAAATTAATTATGATATATTTGATTCAAATGAATTTGATAAAATAATATTAACTTGTTATTTATTCATAAATTTTGATATTATCAATTAATTTTGATAATAATTTTTTATTTTTAAAAAATAATAAAATTAATCATAAAAATATAAATAATTCATGGAGTTTTTTTTTGGCTCGATGGTTCTCTGACCCATCCAAATAAATAGGGAATGAGATGGAGAGAAAAATGAGAGCGACGATAGGGCATGAGATGGAGAGGGAGGTGAGGGATGACATGCTGTCACCGAAAGACTCGAATCAAACCTTGGAGAAGCAGGAGAGATTGTTAACTAGGGGGAAGGAGACGGTGAATTGAAAGCGACATAATAATAATAATAATAATAATAATAATAATAATAATAATAATAGTATTCGAAGTTAGAAATAGATGTTTAGTAAACAGATCCAGAAAAGAAATAGGTAAAAGCAACTGCAATTTTCTTCAAATGAATCCAAACATCATCAACAATCCCTCAACAATGCCAATCTCTGGTGACTTGCCTTGTAGCAGACTTCTATAGACCATCAACAATGCATTGTTGGAGGACACTTTCTAAGTACCAAATATCGAAAAAGAATAAGAAAACAGAATTCAGAAATATAAATCCAGTCTCCACTTGATTGATCACTATCACCAATGAAAATTCTCTACAAGTTTAACACATACACTGCCAGTCAAAACGATCTTGGGTAGTTGAAGCATCACCACTGAAAAGCCTCTATCATTCCGGCTGCACGCTCTATTCTCACCTGAATCCCCTCTGTTAGCATTAGGCACAAGAACAAATTGATTGAGTTTGTCGAAATCTAGTCACCATTTCAGGAGTTGCATAAAACTTACAACGGAAGACTAGTCTCATTTGGAAAAACAATATGGCATTACCCAAAACATATGGGAAAGAAATGGAAGATTATGCATCTTTAGTTGGATGACCTGAAGCACTATCATTCAAACCCAACACAACAGCAAACAAATATCACCTACTCATATTTAAAAGCTATACAACAGAACAGACAAAGCAATCAAAGCGAAAGATAATGAAGACTGACAAAATACAGAAGGAACCCATAGGCACACACCTTTACCTGCTGAAGTGACAACTAGGAAATACATGGGAGAACAACAAAGGATATACATGATAGCAATTTATAACAGATACTACGATCTGTTGCTTTTTTTCTTTTCTCCTGTTGTTTTGCCACAATAGGCAATTCAAAAGAATTTGATCTATGACATGCAAACTTTCACCCAAAACCTTCAAGTTGCTTTTAGAATAGAAGGGAAACCTGCATTCATCTGGACTGAAGCCGACTCAGTACGGTTGACCACTAAAAACCATTTTCAGGAGACGACATGCTGTATGTGGTGTCGATCATCATTATCTGCAGAATAGAAAAATATATTTTCTGCACTGTAAGAAATAGACTAGAAAAATCAGAATCTACAATTCTTTCTCCAACTTTTACTGTGTCTCGACGTCAATTTTGAGAACCTGAGCATATATCAAAGAATTTGACATGCACTTGGTGGTGATTTCTCGATTAGCAAACTCTAGATTCCTTGAATTCTAGAAAGGGTGAACAGAACCAACTGTGAGATGCTTAAACAATATAGCAGAAGAGATTTTTATCCAAGATTTTTAAGATCATTATGCGTATAATTCGTGTCTTATATGAAAATGTAAATGCTAATTGCCAATACTACAGAGAAGTAAATGAAACCCTACTTGTGATGAATGTAAAAGAATAAAATAAAATATAACGTTAAGCAGTAATGAGTTGCTTCATATTCATACTTGATTACAGATGGCACAAGTATCACTTCTCTCCATCCATTCAAGAATGCAAGACAGATGAAAATGGTGTTCACACTTTGTCATAATTCGAGGGTTCTCTGTGTCATAATCTGTCAAATAGGGGAGAGAAAAATTCATCAGACTATCAATTCTAAGAAAAACACAAACTCAATGCTCATTGGATCAATTCAGCATAGTCAGATCTTAACCCTTCGTGCTAATGACAAGTCACACATAAGAATCCAAACTAACTTGCTATAGTCAGACAACAATAACAAGAAACTGCAATGTCCCAACTATATAGTTGGGGTCAGGCACATGAATCTTTGTCATCCTTAAGCTCTTTAATGTGAAAATCAACTTACTCCAATGCAAAAAGTATCTTATTGGATGTCTCCAAGGAGAACGTTAAAATGATCAAACCTGACCACAGTGGCTTAATTAATTATCCAAAAAAAAATCTTAATGTTAATTTATTCTTGTGAAGAAAAGAATGACACAGAAAATTCTTCAATTATAACACATCAAAGCCTTCTCAGTTAAGTGAAAAGCCACAGTAGCAAGCACATGCAACTTTCATGTTTTAAATGTAATTGCTGACAAATGTTCTCACAATAATCTACAATTGAGAAAAACTTATATATCAACCTGTTCAGCAAAGAAATACATAACAATATTCCAAATTATTTGTAATCCAAGAAATGCTGGCCAAATATTCAGAAGAAAATGGACATGTGTCCAGGGCATAAAATCCATAATATAGTCTCCATGTATAATTTCCTGTCATGTAAGAACATTACTAAAGAGAGACAGCATGAGCTTCTGTCAATGAATTTGTTTTTCAATAATGTAGCTTCCATGATGCAGTTAACAAGGATTGCCAGCAAGTCAGTACAACCAATATACAGTTACAAAAGATGGATAATCACTATTATTATTCTATGGAGAAAAATGGTTCTTAAGTTTCGAAAGATAACAAGGATTGCTAAAAAATAAGTATGATCATGATGTCATTATATCAGATGTATAAACACTATTACTATTTAGGGAGAGAAATAGTTCCTAAAAACAGAGAAAAATTTATAGTTCTAATATCATGAGACACTATCAAAAAACCCTAGAGCAGGAAGAAATCGTTCTCCACAAACAAAATAGGACTACCTTCGAGACAAATGGGGCAAGCGTCCTCCTCATCTGTAGTTGAGGTAACAGGCTTACTTATCTCATCTTCAGTAGTCTTAGGAGAATTATGCTCGCTCTGAGCTTTATTCTTGCAGTCTGAAGTTTCAAACCTATCATTAGTTTCTCCTGTTGGCCCAGAATTGTCTAGCTGCATAGGATCAGTTTTGGTGGCACAACAGTCAACATCTCTGCGCAAAGTTTGTGTGCTTGCCAAACCCACATCATAGGGCAAGGGTGCAGGAGGTGCTTGGTAAGTATCTGGAGTAGATGTGTCCAGATTAGTGTCAACAAGCAGTCCTGAAGAGACTGCAGACAATGCACCATGACTGGCTGATGACAGAGGTTCATGCTCCTCCAAGTCTTGAGGGCACTGCAAAAGGTACATAAATTAAATTACCAAGCTTCTGATCCTGATACTGAGTTTTGTGTGCATAAATTAAATGGGTTGTTAGATTATCTCCTTAATGAGTAACAATGTTCACATACTTGCCCAATTTAGAGGAACATGCAACAAAAAGACATGGTCTCATGAAGCAAAAAAGAATTCAAGAAACTAATCAAAAGGCTCCATTTCAATACAACCAAGGAAATAAGTTTACTGCACAATTATAATAGATCAAACAATACAACAAAAAAGAAGATGTATTTATCATTATGTGGGCAAAGGCTCCCCAAAAACAACCAGACAAAACAGAAAAGAAAGAAACCAAGAAAGTTAGGCTGAGAGCTGCTGAACTGGATGTAACTTGGATCAAGTCAAATGATTTGATCGAGTCTAGTTAGTATTTGATCTGAGTTGTATCTAGTCAGATTGTCTATATTACTATCAAAAAATTGTCATATCCAATTTTTCATTGAGGAACTATACCTTTTCCTTAGTTTACAAAATCATCTTAAGATAAGACGGTATAATGTTAGGTTCACAACAGCCTATACTTATGATTTTGAGCATTATTATAGTTTAAAAAACTACTAGCAGAGTGCTACTTAAGCATATTGCACATTGGCTTCATCTGTAGAAGTGTGTTTGATATTCAATAACAGAACACACTCATAATTTAAATCTTCTAAAATCCATGCCAATATCTGCATATGTACCTTACATTAATAAATAGGTTTCATATGGTCATTCAATCACCCAAATTCTATATGTTATCATGATGAAAGCATTTTGAGTACGTGGATACAAATTTTATCCACAAACCCATCTCCAATCACTTCTAATTTTCAGGTGCGACTATAGTTTCCACAATAGGCATAATGTGGTAGTTGGTACTGTCTTGTTTAAAATCAAGATTGTCAAACTGCTATATTTTTTAGGCCATAACATTCAGACTAAGCAAAACACACCATTGAATAATTGGCAAAGCAGCTGCTTCTCAAGTAACATCAACCTGAAACAGGTGCATATTATCTTAAATGACACAAATATCTACTTGTATACAACAGTTTGGCCTACAACAACAAGAAGCCACAATGTCACAGCTATTTGCGTAAATTATATAGATATGTTACCATCAGTAAGCTTAGTACAAGACAATAGCTCTATACAATTACTTGAGCTATAGAACTTTAAAAATCGATAGATCACTACATCTAAGGTGTTGCACTAGCTCCACGATGCTGCTTCTGCTACATGTCCATTTGCTACCAACATGAACCACCTCTCTTTTCTTTGCAAAGTAAATGCAACATTTCTTAAATGGTGTATGCAATGCACATATTTAGTATTCAGTGTCAATAGTAACAAAAACAACACATCAGAAGAAATGGCTACGCACATAGGAATAAGCTGGTGCTCTATCTAACTCAGCCCTTGATGAACAGCAACAGCAACCACCCATTACCTATTTATTTGTTTAAGTCAAAAGTGCAATCTGACTTGGAAGTTACAGGATATTCATACATTATTTCCCGTGATCTGCCATATGAGATACCAAGAGTGTTAGTGCTTGCCAAAACATACACATGAATGAATAATTCTCAATTGCACCATAAGATAAAACTGAAAAGGATTCTGCAAATAAGTTAAAGCATAGCCATCCATCGTTAAAGGCAAACACATAGAATTTGATTTGGATAATGAGAAACTCTATTTTATGGATTATAAATGTTAATGTATTTGTAATTTACTTAATCTGGAGCCTTCTAGCCAGTGTCCAACAGAAGTGAAACTTAACACAAAATTCACGTAATGTGATGTCAACTCAACCACATAAGCAGTAAATTTCAGATCCACTAATAACCAATGTAAAAAAGGCATTCAAACTTCCCACCTATGGTTCTTCCACTGACTGAATATATTTAACAACACTTAGACTAACCAACGGTCATCGATTCTTTACAAACCACAATACAAGTTCCATTTATCATCCACAACATAACTCAAAATTAGCATCATGATGAGGAGGTAAGAATTCCTTGATTTACCGATCAGTTGTGCATCAAAGAGGTGAAACCCAATGCTCTTGTGCTAACTAAGAGGAAATCTGGAATACAAATATCTGGTTACAATAAAAAAACTACTAGACACATCTCAAGGCAAAGTCAAATTAAAGATTGATTATAAATTAACTCTTCATCAAGAAAATTGGACTCTTTTTACAGCAAGTAACATGCAAGGATAACCAAGCACCAGCCTCCAGTGAAGTCACCCTCATCGGACTACCATTTTTTTGTTTTTTTTGGGACAAAGGATAAATATCGAAGGTGGGATTCGAGCTCAGAACCTTGTGATAAATTATCAAGGTCATTACCAGCTAAGCTAGCTGACACCTTCAAATTTTTAAATATGTCAGATAAGTTTCAAACTCCCAACCTTTGGTAAGATGGTCTGGTACATCATTACCAGACCAATATTTAAGGTGTTGGACAACCCAAATTTATGATGAAAGGATAAAGAGCCAGCCATCCAGATAAATTCTGGATCGAAGGTCAGTGTACAATCCACCATGGCGTTCAGAGTTTGATAGAACTGCTCCAACATACCTTAAACAAAGAGTACATGAAAGAGAATAAAGGATCGCGAATCTAGCTAATGGGTCTAAATTTGTCTAAGAGGACAGCATCTATCAGTTCGTGAACTCGGAGAGATACACGCGTGTGATAGCCCAACAGGATTTATACTCCCCCTATCACCTGAGTTCGATAACTGCACGATACACCAAAAGGACCTCCATTGAGAGGAAATCAGAAGTCCCAAACACGAGCTCTGCTACCCTCGGTAGAACTCATGGGCAATAAAGGCAAACGGAGGGATCTAGCACTCGCCACAAGGCTCAAAACAAGACAGACGAGCGAATCATCCCGGCCAGCAGAACGATCAGATGTCAAGCCCCCATCACTCATCCAAACCAATCAAGAGCACATCCACACACATAATTAGGCGCGAGAAACCGACCGAATTCGACGAACTACCGGTTGCCGCAGCTCGGCGAGAAGGGCGAGGGGTGATGAGCAAGGAAAATTCGAGGGTTTTACCGTGTGATGTAGCGGAATTGCAAACCCTAGACGTTGGCAGCGACGGCAAGGGTTTCTCGAGCCATCGGTCGGACCGAGGGGCGGTCTTCGTCGGCCTTTTCCTTTTCTTCCTCTTCCTCTTCCTCCGCCAAATTCGAGCAAAATGTGGAGACCCATATATATATATATATGTATATATATATATATATATATATATATATATACATACACGGAACAGAGAGAATAAGAGCGAGCGAAGGATTCCATCCGTAAAATTACACGTTTGAATCACCTGTCTTTTGTTTGGTTAAAGAGATGAGCGGTCCGTTGGTCCCACAGCGGAGATGGGGTATCGACGTATCGGTATAACGAAAACGTAACGCAGAAAGAGATTCGAGGCCGGGTAAGAGGACTTTTATTCATAAAAAGAAGAGGACTTTTATTCTACCGGGCGTCGGTTCACCCAACCGGCGTCGCTGCGATGTGATCGAAGGGGCCGACGGAGAGCGAGTGGGATCCACAGGTGAGGCCGCCGTTTGGTCCAATCACCGGGCAGGTTTTTGAGCCGAAGACGGGTAAGAGATACAACTGCTTCTTTTTGCTTTGTTCGGCGGAAAGCGTGGGCCGCGTGGCGGCCGGCGCCATGCTCCCGACCTGAGTGGGCGCCAAGACCGCGGACGACTTCGCTCACCTACTCACTTATTGGGTAGCAAAGTGGGCCCCTTTATTGTCTCCCGAATGTCTGTCTAATAAGCAATCGCGGGTAAAGGTTGGTCGACAGAAATTAGTACGTAAGCCTTTTTCCTACGCATATAAATATAAATATATATATATATATTTATTTATTTATTTATGATATGAAACGAATTTTCCTGAAAAGACCTCTTTTTGAGCCGGTCTTTTTCTAGACTTGCATTTGTTGTGTCAATTTTTTTCTTTTAGTATCCTAGAAAGAAAGAAAGATGCACATCTTTCTTTTTGATAAAATAGTTGCACCTCTTTCCTAGAAAGATGACGGATTTAATTTTAAAAATATATCAAATTAGGATATTAAAAAAAATACATCAAATGAGAAATCTAAAAAAGAAGTATCAACGAAAAAACAAAAAACTCAAAAAGAATGATTCTCACATAAATCCGTCCAAAGTTAAATATAATCATTTGATAGACTTGGGAATTTTATAGTAGCCAATTTAAATTTCTTGCTTCATCTTGCAAATGAATTTTTCATCTCGGAATAAATAGCTCTTATCCAAATAATTAAGCATTCTCCTCCATAAAAAGTTAGGAGGATTCTAATTTTCATAACTGCCCCATATATAGGGATGTTGATGTACCTAAAATCAAATTCCAAATTTAAAATATAGAGCTCACGTTGAATGTTGTTACAATAATACCCACAAATTTAGCTTTAATGTTTCATTATTTCATATGATGCCACAAAAGGCAAACATTTCCTCTACTTTGGTTTCTTACTTTAGTGGCGGAAGTGGGTGAGCAGACTTCTCCTAACCTTTTACGAGGAAAAAGAATGGTTAATAATACCAAAAAGCAATGGTGGCCGAGATTTCTGTCTCCCGGACACGAGGGAGACAAGAGAGAGACTGCTTCAAACATGTTATTTGTTCAACAACACACACACACTCTCTCTCTGTGCGTGCGTGCGTGCGTGCGTGCGTGCGTGCATGCCATTCACCAAAAAAGTGACATCTAAGTTGCTAAACAAGCATGCAGGCCTAAGAATCAGATACTTTGCAGTGAGTGGTGTTCAATCCACAAGCTTTTCTTACGATTCAAGAATGCAGTATCCAGCTGAAGGATTATAACAAGTAAATAGATTTTTTTTTTTTTTCCAAACAAAAAACTACTACTTCGTATATGTAGTTTTGAAATCCACAAGACAATCGAGATATTTACCTTCGTGAACATATGACTTTCTCTTCCTATGTAGCTGGCTCCCAATAGAGCATATCACCGACATGACATTGAAGTCACATTCACAATCAAAATGTAGCATTAGGCCAAGAAAAACAAAAGAGAAGCAGCAAAAGCTAGCATCAGGCCAACTCAGGTTCAGCATGCTGTATAAATGGGTAATATTTCCCGATGGCATATAGAATCGGAGGCTTAATGAATGGCATAATGCAGCGCATGAAAGTGATCCATTGTGAATCAAATGGTGGATATAACAAATTACCTTCATCTCTTGATCTATATAACATCGCAATCACCACCACTCCAAACAGAGTCAAGGAGAAATGGGAATAAAAAAAGAGGGTAAAAGGGTGGGGCGGATGACTAATTCCAAATTTTGTTTCACATACCTTTCGGAGACCACCACACTAAGCCCTGAATTAGTAGCAACTGCATTTCCTAATTTACATACACTATATGTATGGCTCACATCTGGCTTGGCCGCCTTTTACCAGTATCCGTCCTCATTCGCTTTACTGGCTTAGCCCACTTGACATCCCTTATGCTAGGGAGCACACCACTCCCTCTGTCAACCTGCTGCTTCTCATGGTGTGCCCTGCCTAGTGGAGATATTGCCTGTTGAGATGGACGGGAATCGCCCTGAATTGGGGCCCCGTTGTTTCTGACCATGCTTGGCGCAGTCACAAGGCCCAGAGATCCCTTGTTGGTAGGAGCCAAGGGTGTCATCCGACCAGGGTTAGAGGGCGATGTAGGGCCACTCACCTGCTTCATGGCACATTTGTCCCTGTCTTTCCTCTTCTTCTTGCAAATTACCAGATCCCCTGGGTGCGCCAAGACCTGTGAACATTCAGGCACCTGCTGCCTCGCACTTGCACCAATTGATCTTGATTCTTTATGAATCTTGGAAGCACAGGACCTCGTTTTCCTTTCATCATGAGCAGGAATGGACCCATGGGCCAAGGCCTTGCCAGGGCCTGAGCCTGTCTCTGTCTTGGTTGGTGCTTGCCGCTTGGCTTCATCGGCAGAAGCCAGTCTTGGAGATGGAGTTGCAGCTCCACTAGAACTGGAAAACGTCACTGCATTCTTAGCTTCTCGGAAATCTGTATCCGGAAATGCTATCTTCATGATATCAAAAAACATGTCTTGAAGCTTTCCTGCCTCATATTTCACCTGCATAAGTCAGGAAACAATTGAGAAAAACACACACCAAATCTCTTAAGCAAATATTATGACCAAACAGTTGCAAGTTTCTCCAAAAGTAAAATTACCAAAGTACTGTCACAGAGAGGCAGAAGTAGCTTTCTTTTTCAGAAGATAAACAATTAGATCAACTGAGAGAAGGAGAAGGTTGAGAACAAGTAGAGGAAAGGGAGGTGGGATGGTTACGAGTGGCAAAGGCAGTCTATCGGGTAGTCAACCAAGCATGCTGGAAAAAGTTCAATTGAATTTACAAAACAATCATAAAGGAAGAATTGGAATGATTTGGATTTAAGATAAAGAAAAGGAAATAAGATGGTGATATTTTCCCTCAGTGATCCAGCACACTAGGATTCTCCAGAGTCGACATCAGCACCCTTACCTCTGCAAATGGCTAGGTAATTCTAAGATAAGAATCCTCACCACTCACAGTCGGAAGGGGCGACCATACAATAATGCCAAGGCTCGCCCGATATCAATATCTTGCAACTCAAGAAATCTCCAAGTAGATAAGAGACGTAGTAAACTTTAGTCTTGCCAATAAAGTTTTTAAAAAACTGTGAAATATTTTATAAAAGTTTAAAAAATTTAGATTAGTAAGAGAATATTTGAAATCAACATAGAAGCAGTTCTAGTATTTTTATTATCTCTATTAAAGCATGACAATATGAATGTTGATAGTTGTCTAATAATGACAAATTAACTAACAGGGAATATATAATTAGTCATTCTTATGGTACATAAAACCTACCTTAACATAAAATATGAGAAAATTATAGCTATATGGCTTGTTGTCCATATTTTAACATTTACTGAGAATACAAGATCAGTAGCGCTATGTTTGGTGTCTCATAACTCTGCATTTCTTTAATTTCTATCGAAACACTGATTTGCTTCTTTGATTTATCAAACTCATATACCAAGCAAAGCACTAATAGATGTCTAAGTTAAACGATCATGAAGTAGCTGATGTGCTCTAAAGATAACCAGTATTTTATAAACCTAGCCATATACCTTTCTGTAAGAATTTGTTTTTTATGTGTGAGAAGTATCCTAAGCAATATCTAACATCAGATTAGCTCCACAAAACAAATAAAGGCTACTAAACTTTTCTGGTGTGAGGTACCCTTGAACTTGTAAGGACATGAATGTGCAGCAAACAGAAATGTCATTTTCTGATGACAAAAATACTACTCGAGGTGGACAGGCTTGCTAAGAGAAAAGTTATGGACAAAAGAAATGAAATCATCATACAGAAAGAGGCATTAAAATTCTGCAGTTGCAGAACAAGAAACACAAAGCAGAAAACGAAAACAAAGCATTCGTACCTCACACAAGTAGTTGCAATGTCGCACTATATTTTTCAGCATCAACTGCAAATCTGCTATGAAATCCATCACGTCATTGTACTCTGAGTTGTCCACACGCTGTTCAATTCTTTTTAGGTCCAGCAAATTGCTGCTTGTGGCACCAGGACTAACAAAAATAGAATTTTCATTTCTTCTCCACCACTCTGACAAAAATGGTACTAGTTGATTCCCTTCTTTTTGTATCCTCCTTTGGAGCTTGCTAATGACATTCTTGCACTGAGATGAAAAAAAGATAAATTTTAGGCTATTCATCGATAGCATGAATTTTATAATGCCTATAGGATGGCATGAAAAGGGAAAAAGTTGGGCCTGACAACAGAAATCGATACCTAAGCAATAAAGACTAGGCATACCAAAGGAAGAAATTATTAGCTACATTAACCAGAGCAGCAACTAGAGATTGACTAACAATGTGGCAACTAATTCATTAAATTGACCTACCTTGGGATTTGAAATTTGCATCAGACATTCTCAAAGCTCAAGCTATCCACCAATTAGTGAAAGAATGAATGTAAAAAAGAAACAACTTTCAATATGTATCTAAAGAACACAATACTTTCTGATCATGATAGTTGAGACCAACAGAAGTTAGACTCATCCTTTTGATGACAAAAAATCCTGGGGAAACAGGTCCAACTTTCACCTTGTTACACTTTTACCAAAATAAAGGATATAAAGAGCATGCTTAATATTTCTTCTCCTTTATAAAATAATTCTTCAAAAAGTTCTAGTTTATGGAAGTGCTTGCATAATTGTGGAGGTGTTGATTACAGGTTTGTAAGCTTTAAAGGCCCTTTTCTTACTAACTAATATTCATTAATAAAGGAGAATCGTTTAAAATGGTAAGGTATGTGCTTAGGAAATCTACAAATGCAGCAATTAGAAAAGGTAATATGATTCCTACTAATACTTGAATAGAAACCATAAATAAATATTTAAATACTCTTAACTTAACTAAATAAGTATTTTTTTTGGATTTGACAAAAAATATATGTAACCAACCACAAATAGTTCGGACTTTACGATTTTGTTATTGTTGTACAGATTCTTGATAGATGTTTCAGACATAATGTCAACAACAATAGTGGAGATGGTGGTGAAGGTTAAAATGGCAACTAAATGAATAGAACTAATGGGTAGAGATGGTGGTAGCAATAAGTGATGGCGGTAGCCTGAGATGGCAGTGGCAGTAATGAAGGAAATGATCCATGGCAACAGTGGAAGTAGTGGCGGCAGTGTGATGACTAACAGTGGAAGTGGTGATGGCAGCGGCAGTAGTGGCGGCGGCCAGTGATGGTGACGGTGGTAGCAACTATAACAGGGGAAGTATTGAAGGTAGTGGAGATACTGGTGGAAGCAACTATGATACCTGTAGTAGTGAGGAGGTCATGGTGGTGGCGGAAAGAATTCCATGCAGTCAACTCCAAAACAGGTCTCTAATATCAAGTTTAGAATTAATTCCAACCAACTCTCATCAATCATAATAACATTAATATGCCTATTAAATTTGTGCAAAACCAACTTAACTCTAATCATTAATGCAATCTTATAATGATTCAACTTAAAGTTCAAAACTATTGATTTTTGAAGCAGGTTTCTATATCTTAAGTTTATAATTAATTCCAACTAAACTCTCATCCATCAGAACAGCATTAATATGCCTAGTAAGTTTATGTGCAACACTGAGTGAAAACTAAACACTGATGCAATCTTATAATGATAACAGCAGTATATAGGGGTGGTGTTCCATATGGCACTCAGAAACAAGTTATGGATGAATTCAAGCATGTAATCAGTAAAACATACTGTGTGGTATTACTCCATATTGTTTTATAAAACTCTCTTGAAAAGATCCATTATGAAGGAAGTATATTGACCAAGCAAGTAATAAGATAAAAGGTTGACATAAGCTAACAGTTGAAACATAAAAAAATAAAAGAGGGAGAATATAGTGTATCCATACCTTTCTCTGTGTGCTGTCAGTCATTCTTGTGGCCACAAAGCTTGGGCCACTGGAGCTAATGGCTTTGCTACTCCAGCTTTCAATAGAGTGATCATAGCCATCTTCCACAGATGCAGACATCCGGCCAGACTTCTGCACAACAGGAGGTGAAATAACTCTTGATGGTAATGTACATCTCTGCTTCAAAGGTGGGCTACTCCTGTCCTGACTTCCTGAGCCAGCCTCCCCAAATGCCTCAAATTCTTCAGCGTTGAACTCTGCAAGTTTTTCATGCTTCGCCTGCAAGAGTGGCCAAGAACCATGATGGAAAGGGGCTCTATGACTACTGGATTTATCTTCAGTTCTTTCCATACTATATCTTGGCCGAAGCCGTATACTGCGTTTTCGCTTTATTTTTGGTTGCACAACCTGTTCATCATCTAAGTCATCATGGTCATAAACCAAACTATCTGACTGATGTAGATCCATGAGGGAATCACCTGACACCGCAATTTCCCCTTCCTCTAGCTCATCTGGCTGGAGTGCACATGTAAAACACCAAGAGAAATAAAGGTTAAGGAGTATATATAACCAAAATATAATATGATAATAGGACAAATTCAAGATGTGTAGTTTCTGCAACGCACCATCCTTTTCAAAGGGCTTGGCCTGGCATCCAGAGCAGAAATTAATCCAAATTTTTGTGAAGGTGTGTTAGGAGTCACAGGCTGCAGCAATCTCCGACTACCAGAAGAAGATCCTGTCGAACCAGCTTCATCAAATGCATGAACATCTTTGCTGCCTTCCATCGCTAGAGAGAACTCGTCTCCACCACTATCACAGACCAGCCCTTCCTCTGCTTGATCCTTGTTGCTTGGTAGCACATCACCAGCACCATAGAACTCTTCATCTTCAAATTCTCCTACATCTCCCTCTTCTTCAAATGTGTTTCTCTCATCTGTGTCAACATCAGAGTCACCGTTTTCTTCATCATCTGATTCCCTGTATGTCGGATACTTCTTGGCGGTTGAGCTTTTAGGGCGGCCTCTTCTTCTATCTGTCTTATTGGGGGATGAACCAGAAGGCATGCCATTTGATTCCAGTTCAATGGTGCTGGATAAAATGTTCTTCGAAGGTTTCTTAGATAAACTAGCAACAACAGAATCTAATTCTCTAGAACTAACCCGAAGCCACTTTGGGACTTCATTGTATTTCACCACATCTCCTGTCCAATCAAGTTCCTCATCCATTTGATCAAACAACTCAACTTCTTCTTCACTACGAGCAATCATGCGATTTACCTCCTGAAGAGAGGGAACATTATGCACAGTTTCTTGGTATCTTTCTTCATCATGCAGTAATGTCTCCAAAGTCAGCCGCCTTTCTTCATGTGTTGTTCTCTGATCAAAACGGCCAGCATTTATGACCTCATCGGCCATGTCTATTTTATATTGTTGAATATTATTACGTATAAGGCTTTCGATTGACCCCATATACCGATCTTTGCCAGCAAAATCATCCTCTGAATTCCCTGCACCCCCAGTCCTCATTTCATCCTCTTTTTGGTAGCTTGAGACTTTGTCAACAACAGCTTCCAAGTATATGACCTTTACCTCTCTCGTCTGTCCAATACGATGTGCTCGGGCAACTGCTTGCTCTTCATTTTGCGGATTTGGATCTGGATCATATATCACAACAGTATCTGCCGTCTGGAGATTTAGACCTCTTCCAGCAGCACGAATACTGAGCAAGAAGATAAAACAATCAGAGTCAGGGCTGTTGAAGTCCACAATTGCTGACTCGCGATCTTCTAGTGGAGTTGTACCATCTATTCGTCTGTAGACAAGCCGCCGCCAATGCAAATATTCTTCTAATATATCAAGAAGTTTTGTCATTGTACTAAAAAGAAGAACTCGATGGCCTGCTTTGTGAAGCTTTATGAGAATTCTGTCGAGGATCCAAAGTTTCCCACATGATCTAACAATAAAATTCTTTGAGTAGTCATTGAAGTAAGGATAGTTAAGCAAAGGATGATTGCAAACTTTCCGCAGCTCCATACACCTATTATTAAGATTCTTATACATTTTAACCTGGTACATTGGATTCTTTTGAACCTTGCGCATCTCATCTTCAGGATCAACTCTAAGAGTACCGGTAGATCTAATCCAATCATAGATGGCACCTTGAAAAGCTGACATTCTACATCTCAGAACAATAGAGACCTGCAATCATGAATCAACTAAATATTCTGCAGAGCTCAGAGAAACAAACACTTAAACTCATAATACTTGCCTTAGGAGGAAGTGAACCTTCAACATCCTCAACACGTCTTCTTAGCATGAAAGGTTCAAGAATCTGATGCAGCCGATGGATAATGATTACCTTCTTTTCAGTCTCAAGCCAATCATCCTCCTCTGGGTTATGGGAAGGACCATCTTTCTGAAAGGGCTTTGAAAACCAATCATGAAATGCTTTGCGGTTATCAAATATTTCAGGGAGAAGCACATTTAAGAGGGACCATAGTTCCTTCAGATCATTCTGCATATTTTATAGAGGATGTCAATACTCTACTAAACTAGCTCATTTAATGGAACAGATTTATTATACATAAAAAAAACATAACAGACAAAAGCCAGCACGTAATTAAAGCAAACATTGGGTTTGCCTATTGTAACTAACAACTTCAACCCATGGGAATCCATGTTGATCAGCACCTCTATAGGAGCCACGTATTGCACCCATGAAGCAAGTCCCACAGGAGATAACTATGGGCTTAACATGGTATCACAGAAAATATGCTGAATCATGACCAGCAATTTCTCAGCATGGAGCTCACTGGTCGTTATCTTGTGTGGAACTTTCTGTACATCTCTTTCTGCATATCTCGCAACAAACCTCATTGTGGGCATATATATATATATATATATATATATATAGGCCTAGCTATGACCAGTTAGGAACTCTACGATAACTCCCACTGATGGCCAAGCTGCCAAGATGCAGTTCAAGCTGATTTAGGTATCACAAAACTTTAATCAGTTTCCAGAGAGATAATAACATGATCTTTTAAGTGATACTATGCACAAAGGCAACTATTGAACAAAGATGTGTGCTTGTGCAATGCAAATAAATGCAACAATCTGCAAGAAAGTTTGAAATTTTGCACGGCACAAGGCTTCCTTAAATTTCACTAGAATGCAACAACAACAACAAAGCTGTAAGTCCCAATCATTTTGGGTAGGCTATATGAATCGTTTGTCATCATTGAGATATGTAAGAAGCCATATATTTAATTAAATTCAGAGTACTTAGATATTTATTTATAGTTTCTATTATAGTCTTTTTTTGTTTTCCTTTATCTCTCCTCGTACTTCTATTAAATTTCACTAGAATGAATAGGTAAAAACAATCTTTGAAAGTCGAGCACTAGCTGTCTAATTAAACAAAATAAAAAGAACATCTTTCCAAAATTGAGCATTAGTTGCCTACTTCATATCAATCGCATGTGAGCTCCTAATTCAAGTTTTCTCTATTTCAGTCATTAATCAGCACATGCAATGTAAGTACATAATTTCATGCATAAAGAGAAACTTCACAGTGCCATACAAAAGATATGTGGTTATGCGGTAGCTCACAGTGTTGTTGTTTGACTGCTTCTCAATGTGAACAACAATGGAGGACACATGCAGGAATCGAAATAAGAATGAACAGAGCAAATGCTTGTACAGAGAAATTTTTAGTGTGCTTCATGATGAAAAAAACACCTTAATTATTCATCACCCGTATATGAGTTGGGTAATCAAGGATCCACCAGTTGCAGGTACAACATCTCATTTTTTTATGAAGCATGCAAGTGACAGGAAGAAAGAAAGGGCTCTACCACAAAAGGAATCACATTTTCTTTAAATTACTATAGATATTTAATCAGAAGACCATGCTGCTTGTGATGCCGTTAGTGTCCAATGTTGACTTACTGGGCCTCCAAGGCAAGTAACTCATACTGAACTCAGAGATGCAATTTGACATGTTGGTACCTCATGGATTCAGCTAGATCATAGATCACTAAAATCCAAGATCAAGATGCCACATGTCGAAGATCAAAATGCCTTCAAACCAGCAGCCATGATGGTACTTCAGTATAAGACATAGTATGCACCATAAAACTAAAGATATGAGTGCATTGTAACTTATGCATAGGCATAACCATAAGCATGCAGGTACATCTTAAGGCATGAATAGCAATTAAATCTTTGCTACATCTTTTAATAATAGAGTATAGAGTGACTCTCTTTTCTTCAATGAACATTCTCCAGGAAAACTTGGCCAGACTTCAAAGTTATTGGAAATGGAGATGTTGTAACAAAAGGAAAGAAGTTGCTACAAGCAAGATCCTCTAATTATTGTAATAGGCAAACTATTCCTGTCATGAGTGGCACTGATGGTAGCATACTGTGCCAGCATAGTATTAACATGTTGCATGAAGGGCCTTCCAACATATCTTTTTTAGCATAGGCCCCTGCCAAACTATTGGCCAGCACCTCCTCAAAACATGACTTGCTGGTCAAAAGATCCTTGATCAGATCTCACAAACTGAATGAACAGAAGCAACATTGACATATTTCATCGGAATGTCCAACAAGCTTCATATCAGAGCTTTACAATTAGTAAAATACCAAATTTAATATGATGCTATTTATTTCAACTTTTCGCGACAGATATTTCATTGCTATAAGTCTCAACTCTCAAGTACAATATGAGTTGACTTTGATCTTCATGAGCAAAGCACAAAAAAGACAGAATTTAGTACAAAGAAGCATGAAGTCACATAAACATGTACCTAGTTGAAGAAATAAGAGACTATTAAACTTCATTATTAAGAAATGGACAGTATTGGAAGGTGATATACTATCATGCAGTCGAGTAATTGTGCTGAATACAGTGTTTTCAAACATAATGTGCCTTGTAGGCTTCTAGGCAAACACTTCAAGAGACTAGCTGCTCAAATTCATTTTACAAAAAAAGGTTTAATAAAGCCTTCTCCATAATTAATAAATAAATCCAATTAGGAGTTTCTTACCTCAACTTCTAATGGTTTGTTTCCAAAGAAAACAATGAAAAAAAAACCATCTCTGGCTCACATAAAAGATAATTGAAGACAATAGCAAATGCATCGAACATTTTATAGTACATGATGCACATAATAAAATAAACATAATCACTATATGTAACAAGAAAACTTTTGTGTGCATATCCATAAAACCAGATTAACAGGCAGACCTGTAATGGGGTCCCAGTGAGCAACAACCTTCTTTGGCAGCGATATCTATCCAGATCTCGTGCCAAAACAGATTCCCTATCCTTCATTCTTTGGGCCTCATCAATAATTATGTACTTCCAATCAATTTTTGATAGCTTAGAACGATCATACATAACAAACTCATAAGTTGTTACGAGGACATTAAACTTAATAGCACATACTTCCTGCAAGAAAAAAGTCAGAAATTCATATGCCATTAAAAATACACTTAAAAATGTAGTACATTTTAACATTGAAGTATCTCCTAAAAAAATGAGAAAACTTTCTAAAATTATCAAAACAAAGCTCTGCTTCCTTGTTGACACTTGATACAACACAATTCATCAAAATATATGAAATCCAAATGAATGTATCTTTGCCAAATTATTTCTCATATAATTATATATTTAAAGATTTTATTAACTTTACTCTTAAACCCAAAGCCCAAGTTTACACATCACTGCCTAGTGCTGCAGCAACAAAAAAATGTTTCCAAGGACTCCTTACCCGATTGAAAAATCACCACAAAAGCATGCAGCTAAATATGACATTGACATTTATCTGAAAATCTCGACTATTTTTTCATAATAACAATGCCAAAGAACTACAAAATGTGAAATTTTAAAATTCATTATCTGAATATTAAATTTACAGGACACTTCCTGAAGAAATGCTAAATACAAAATGACACATTTTTATAAAAAAATATTAAATAGGTTGGATACTTTTAGTATATTTGTTGAATAATTCAAAGATACTTGATGAGTGAACTTTTTTTCTTAGACATTAACATTAATTTTTAGGTGAGGTCAATATATTACTATATAATTTACTTGTCATCTGTGTTAAGCATCAAACATAGAGAGTTAATATAGAAGAATAACCATATTACATGAATCAAAAGCTTGCATCTTCTCTAGATTCTTGACCTGTTACTCATCAACAAATAATTTCTTACATGATTAATACATATAGGTATTAAACATTAATTAATGGCTTGTTATATTTGTCATTACATGTACCAAAATATTTTAAAAAATAAACAAATGACAAGCTTTATCACATGCATATCAGGAAAAAAAAATTATATCAATTCTATTTAATCAGTGTGCCCATCCCTTGCCATATATGCATCCAATACCGAATACCCATTTTTTTTGTAGCTAGAGAAAACACCAATAAACAAGAAGTTTTGCTACATTAAATCTGAATGATTCAGATATAATTACGAGGTGTTGATGTATGGCCAACTATTATATCCTTCTAAATATTGAAAATGTAAACTAACCAATGCACCACTGGATGTCATTAATAGAATGCCCCAACACAGGAATTTTGTGGTAAAACAAAGGCACCAGGTAACAGATAAGAAGCAATCAGGAATTGAAATGTATGGGTAGTGGATTTTCAAGTAAATTTAGTTCGGAAAGCAATGCAAAGTGATAAAATTGAATCGAGATTTCAATTCCTAAAAGAATGATGCACACGTAGGAGCCCATACATCATAAAGGCCGGAATCCTGAGCTCGCTTTAGTAGGCTTTCACTATAAACCCCTAGTTTTGGTTGTTTGCAGTATTGATCTACTAAATACGACAGCAACTAGAGAGTGAAAAAAGATGGCAGCATCTATATCATGGTAGGAAGAAGGAAGTTTAAAGTTGGAACAGATATCACATGAGAGAAAAGCATAACTAGGCACCCAGCCATAGAAACATCCCTTGTCACAAAGATCATACAGCAATGAAGCAATTTCAGAACTCTTGAAATACAGGTAGACAACATAGAAACAGTATTCTTACACTGACAGAGAACAAAAGGAGGAACCTAACCTGTGAAAATAACCTAGCTCGTTCATCCTTTCCGCCAACATAAAAAATGCATGATATAGATGGTAGCCAATTTAGCAACTCACTCTAAACAGTAAACACAAAAGAATTGTTAAAAAATACCCTCCCATATAATAGACGGCAAAGCACTAGGTATGAAAGAATTTACCTTCCAATTAACTAAAACAGCATTTGGAACTATAATCAGGTGCGGACCATAATTCCTTTTGAACTCCATCAGGTAAGCAATCAATGCCATAACCTGTTAGAACAACGACCATTAAACATCATGGTAATCAATATCAACTTTGTATAACTCAAAACATATGGATATAGAAATATTTTGATATAATAAATTGAACACAGCTTTAGAAAATTAAAACTGATGAAAAGAAAACATAATAATAGAAACAGATCTTCAACATAGCCCAAAAAAATGCAACTCACATTATTTCACTTAGCTGTCTAGTCCAGTTTTTACACAAAATTAAAGAGGGTAAATCCACCATCGTGAAAAAGGCACAGAAGTACCATCAGAATGTTGATTATTAACAATATAACTGAAAGGTAAAAGCACAAATGCAGAAACCGACTGCAAATACTGATAGCATACAACCTGTACAGTTTTTCCAAGACCCATCTCGTCCGCTAGAATTCCATTCAACTTGTTATTATATAGGGACAACATCCATTGCAGCCCAACCTGGAAAATCTTATTCAGGTAAGGGAACATAATTCTGCATAATAACACTAAAATATAAACAGTGAAGATGAAACATCCAGGAAGCTGTGACCTACAAGCTGATAGTCCCTTAAAGTTCCATATCGTAACATTGAGGGTTGTCTTACAACCCTTTCTGTCAGAGCATGAGCCAAATTATAGTACCTAAAGAAACCATGCCAAAGAAAGAAGCAATCAACAAAAAGAACGAGAAACTTAGATGAAATAATAACAACACAAAATTAAATTGATTCTCCACCAATGAACTTTGATAGCGTAGTTCTATGTTACAGAAGGCTGGTTGTTGTTGTACACAAAACAATTAATTAAAGAGATATAAAAAATAACTTCAGAACATGCTTTTATAAACCACAAAGCACACAGAACAGTTCTTGAAAGAAACTTACTTCTTAGCTGATGAACTGTCCTTTGGAGCATTCATTTCAGAGAACCTATGTCTGATCATTACCTCTTCACCTGCACATGCTGCTGCAGCCCTGACTTCTTCTTCTGAAAGGCCCTATTAATGAAAAAGCTCAATTATGTTTTCTAATGGATGACAATAACAAAAGAGAGGTAGAAAAAAAGCAAACAATAATATCAAGCAAAACTACCTGTGCTCGTGCAGCAGCTGCAGCAGCATTTGCTGCCTCTTGCACCTCTTGGTGACTCTTAGCAGCTGCAATCTTCCCTCCAAGTTTGTGAAGGTATTCTTCTGTCTGGGATAAAAAGGAAGAAAGAACTTCATAACGTTGAGCTGCATCACCAGGAACATTATTCTGCTGCTCCAGTAGCATTTCACGATATCTGTCCACATCATTGTTCTTCAATGCTTCCATCCTTCTGTTTCTGCCATCATCCTTCTTCTTTGAGAACTCCCTCAACATCTTCTCATGATATTTAGCAACTCCTCTGTTTCTTGTAGTCCTTGCATCACGGATGGCCCAGTGAGTCTCCAGGAGCTTTTTACGCCACAGGAAGATAGATTTTAACTGCTTCTCTCTAGAGGCCTTCTGCATCTGTTGAACTTGCCTTAACAGCTCAACTCGATGCCTTTCACATTGCCTTATAAATTTCCGATATGGCCTGTCTGACATGGTCATTATCTCCTGTTGTTGCTGATCAACTTCATCCCTCAATCGGGCCTGAAGATCTAAAAGTTTGAGTTTCTTTTCTTCAATTTGTAAGCGTATAACAAGATCAGGCTTAATCCTTCGCCTCTCCAAATTTACAGCAAGTAATCCACTGATTTTTTTTAGATTTTCTATTCTTTTCTTGCTAAGTATGACCTTACCTTCCTCCAACAGCATATTTTTCACATCATAAGATACCGTCATATGATTGGAGTGGGCAGCTGAACCCATAGAATCATGTTTCCTTATGAATGATGGAAAATCAAAAATTGGGCCATGATAATTTCTCGTTACACCAACCTTTGGAGATGGTGTAGTATTTAAGGTTGATTTCTTCACTTGTCCTGCATTGATTTTTCCACAGTCAACTGGTATAGCCTTTCCCTTGTCAGAGTAGTTATCACCGTTAATAGGCACATTCTGATCTCCCCTTCCAACCTCCTGCTCAGGTATAACAATAGATATGTTTTCTTCTGACTTAGCAACCGCTCCAATCTGCACAGGTTCCTTTGTTGAACCTCCTATCTCTTGCACTTGACTCGCTATTCCAGCTTTCTCCTCCCAAGACCCGGGCTCTTCCTTTGGTAGACTAGAGGCCATACTCGAAGGAACAGGTTGAAGAGCCTGGTCATTAGTCTCTGCACATGTGTGCTCCTTGGTACTGTTCATGATGCTTTTTTCCTGGATACCTGTTCCTGGTTGGACAAATGACTGTTGTGGCTGAGAATCAACCGGCAGGCCTGCTATTGCTTGAATAACTTCGGGCGGTAGAGTACGTTCGCCACGCTGATGATACAACACACAAGATCATTTATAAGTTCTGTATTTGCTTTACCTACAGCACATCACTTCTTAATGAACTATATAATATATGAGTTCAGGATACTTTATGAAACAAAAAGGGAGAGCAGTGGGGGCAGTTCCCAAATTCTTTTGCATACCTTCAAACGCCTGAAAGCTAATATTTGAGCTTTAAGAGCATAAAGCTGTTGTTTTGTAAACCCAACTCGTTGATTTGGCACCTCAACAGATCCACTCAGTGATGAAACTTGAGTACTCATTGCATCAGTGGGAGCAACTGCCATTTGTGAAATGGGTTGGTTCATCTGCTGCAAGGATCTAATATGCTGCATTTGTTGCATGTTGTTCCCAGTATAAGTATGCTTCGCATAGGACTGTTCCATTGTTTGAGTCTTGCTACCAGATGACTGTGGTAAATGCATAATTTGCCTGATGTTAGTGGTTGTGAATGAAGGCCTAACAGGCCTCTCATTCTCATTGTCCCTCTGATGAGCATGGGCCTGTTGTATCTGGAAATCATTAGGATTTACTGAGGTGCTATCTCCACCAGGAATCGTGTCAGCTGCAAGTGGCTGTCTGACTTGTGAGGGACCAACTTGACTGGAGTAATCACTTATACAATTCACATATGCAGACTTATCATTTTCCGGAGAAGAAATAGATGATTGCTTTGATGATGGCGGACATGATTGCTGCACAATGGTGCTAGGTTCACTTTGCTTCTGCATTGCAGCCATTCTGTTAGACTGCCAATGGGATAGAACTTGAGCGATCAGGTTTATGTTGGCTGGAACTGACAGGTCAACATTATTCTCCTTGGCCCATAATTGCATAGCTTGCATCTGTGCCATTGTGAACTGATTGGTTGCAATATTTTGTGTGCTTGCTTGTGAATGTCGTGACTGTGTTGCTCCTACCATGTTTGTCAACCCTAACTGTCCAGCCATCAATGGAGATTGTTTTGAATCACTTCTTTGCTCAGTACTAACATGCCCTTGCTCTAACTGCTTATCGGCATGTGCACACTGTTCACCTGTTCTGTTAAATATATATGCCTGTGACTGGTTGGCTGCCTGTGGAGACATAAGCTCCTGCATCTTAATATTATTCATAGACATACTTTGACTCCCAGTTGGAGCAGCCATATTCATTTTGCCCTGCTGATGCATTAACAAATTCCCGTGAGGTTTGTTCTGGGAAGCCTTCAAAGCAAACTGGAGATAAGCTTGATGAATTGGATTCTGCACATGCTGCCCTTTGTTTGAATTTTCCTCGCAAAGTTGAGGAGCAACAGGTTGATGAGTTAAATCGCCAAACTTTCTCGATGGTTGAGATAGATTCATAGTCCCTTGTAATGATGGAAAGGAATTTCCACCAATGATTCCATGAGTGCCACCAGATTGATAAGTCAGGAGGGTACGGTCACCATCAGCCTTTCTTAACTGCTGCTGCACTTGTTGCTGATATTCATGTTGTTGCAGTGCCTGCATAGAAAATGGAATATGATACTAATGCTTTTAAAAACACTTTTTTGATGAACTTCTAAACAAAAGTACCGTGCATCACTTTAGCAACAAAATCACGTACAAGCCAAAAGTACCACGCAAAAAGCCAATAGTACAACATTGCAACATTTTTAGTTATAAAATATCGAACTAGCAGCTTTCCAATCGATAACAGAACTAGGATGCTTGTTCAAGCAGAAACTCAAGAAACATCTCTTTGTTTCACATGATATGAAAGAGTAATGCATCAATAGTAATAGAAAACAATTTCATTTCCCATGTAGGGCCAAGTGGCAACGTCAACACGTCACTGAAGCCCGAAGTGGCACATCAACAAATGAACACCAACCACATAAGTACGGAACAAATTTAGACAGCAAACTAGCTATCTATAACAGCAATTACGCTGTAGAGGGGAAAAAAACCAGCTTTTAAAGAACTTACATTTATGTTCATGACTTCAAAAGCTCATACCAAACAATATGTAAGATTTATAAATCATTCAATGAACTTAGTCACAAAGAAGATAAAAAAGAAAGAGTAAGATTGAATCTACATGGAACCAAGAACTGAAGTCTCGAAATACAAGGCCGAAGACAAGGTCACCTCAAAAGGAAAATAGATGTTATAAAAAGAAATCAAACATTTTGCTGAAACTCAGAATCGGAGAGGCAACACTCTAAAACTCAAGAGTCGTCTACCCTCCAAAGAGATCACCAGTACCACAATCATGGTCTGCAACTAAAAAACCTCCAACACAAATCGTCACAAAGGGAAAAAGAGTCAAACACAGAATCAGAGAAGGGGAAATGCAGAAACTCAGCAACAGATACAGCAACAAACAAAACTGTAGTCACACAAAGAGAGCCTTCAACGACGAGCTACACGAAGAGTGAGGTAAAGCAAGTATAAGAATGAATCGGGAAACGTATCGAAACGATGGTTTTAGCCAAGAAAATGGGTACAGAAATGAACAAGCTCGGCTTAAAACATAAAGCTACGAAAAGACAACTCCAACAATGGCAGACCACATAAAACCCATTGGAATTCCAGATGTAATGAACGAGGTCCCGGAGACTGGTGGCCAGTGGACAACGTTTAGTTCGGACAGTCCGTACTTTAAACCTCGGAAAAATAAACCACAGAATCCAACAAGGTGTCTACAATACGCGGAACGCATGATTGAGCAAATCAAGGCCACGGGATCCTAAGTCGAACTCCTGAGGCCTTCCGCGCTTCGAATTAAAGAACCCAAGCCTGTCCCCACTTTCCCCCAAATATGGAAACCAAATCAACGACCGTCTTTTACTCACATTCCTACGTACCAGTCGCAACAGTGCCCCAGCAGAGTGGGAAGACCGATAAAAAAAGAAAGGGCGCGAAATGCCACAACTCACCTGCCTATACGCCTCCTGCTGCTGCTGCTGTTGGATTGAATCCAACACCAGATGGGTGGGAGCGGAGGCGGCGGGCGACGAAGAGGAAGACGGCGACGCAGCGGCGGACGGCAACGGCTGCGGATGCGGCGAAGGCCTCGGGTTCCGTCCGTTCCCGGACTGCATGCCGACACCGCCTAGAGAGGCGCGAGCTTGGGGACCTCGAAGCCCTAAAAACTCGGAGATCGGATGCCTCCGATGGAATCAACGCTCATCGCGGCTCGGATCCCCCGAAAAGCACGCGAAACCCGCCGCACCTCCCACCTCGGCCACCCTGGCAACGACGGAAGCCGTTTCGGGGCCAACGAACGCGGTTTTCCGGCAATTCTGCCCCAAAATTAGGGATCTACGTGTGCAGATCGGGGGGCGAAAGTGGAATCTTGGGCCGGAATACCACGATCTCGCTGGGAAACCGGCAATTTGGCCCGGAATCAAAAACCCCTCGATGGCGTGCGACGGTCAAGCCCTAACCCTGGGAAGGTTCCTTTTCCTGTATTTTTTTTATATTTCCTTCTGTTTCTTCCGCTTTCGACTATTTATAGCCGCTCGCTACTGCATGGACGCCGGGTTGGGTTACGCCAAAACCATGGTTAAGAAGCCGTGACCGGAGAACCGTATGCCCTCGGTATTGATCATAATTACCAATTTCCCCCCAGTTGACGCGGGTGGAAATAAACCGCGGTTTCATCAGATTACGGAAATGCCCCTAATCCGGGAAGGCAATAAAATTACCCTTGTGCCCCCACTTTTAATTATGTATTATCAGGGCATCCATTATTTGGGGAAGTACTCAATCATAATTAACAAATAATGGGTAAAAAAAACATTTGGTGGTACATATATTATTCCAACCCATTGAGCAAAAATGTTCCGAGAATCCAATGAAGTCTTGAGACGCTAATTTTTTTCCTAGTAAATCGAGTTTTGATTCAAGTCACACAAATCAGTAATTTAATTGTTACAATAAGATAATTAATCTATTTAATTATAAAAAAGGGACTAAAGACATCTATAATATAAGTTAGGCTGATGGAGAAATTATAATGCACTAAGTTTAAGTTTAATGTTATAAAATTTTAATGTTATAAGTTTATA